CATTGGCCTGGTGGGCCCAGGAACATGCCAGGGCTTTGCTGTCCCTTGAACAGGGAGCCCTGTGTGTGTGTGTGTGTGTGTGTCTGTGTGTCTGCGTGTGATGTGGTGGGGGGCGTGCTCTGAGGGGCTTAGGAGCTGGAGGTGTGGATTCTGGATCACTGGAATATGGAATCGAAGCCTGAGACTTGGGGGTAGTGGGGGAGGAAGAGGCCCACTGGGGCACAGCGGGCCACAACCTTGGGAGAGAGAGAGAGGCAGTGAGTTCCTCCAGGGCCAGGTGGGGGTCGGCCTCCACTCCAGAGCAGGCTTCCAGGTGAGCCGGGGGTCCCTATGCCTCCTCAGGTGCTGACCTGTGTGTGAGGTAGGGGCTTGGGTTGCAGACCGTCCTGCTCAGGCTGCATAAGGACATCATCATGATGATGGCATGAGGGCACACAATGGGAAACAGTGTGCCAGTCACGCCCTGCCTGCCGCTCTCCAGAAAACAGGCCAGCATCTCCTAGTCTTCAGGGAGACCAAAAATGGCTTCCTGCCACAAGGGGATGAATGCCCCTCCCCTTGCCCTGCTCTGTTCTTCTGCCTCCACCGGATGAAGCCCTTGGAGGCCCAGAGACCTTGCCATCTCCTACCATGCAGGCTGTGCCACAGCAGGCCTATCTGACTCGCCCGATCATCCCCCCACCTGTTACCTCTGCTGGGAACACCAGGCTTCCAGGCTCCTTACTCATCCGCCAAGGCCCAACTGTTCCTCACCTGCAAGCAGATCCAACTCCCCCTCATCTGGGCACGCACGGCCCCCGTCTGTTACATCACGTGTAGTTGCCTGTTTGTTTTTCCGCCACACTGGAAACTTCCTGAGGGTAGGGGTTGGGTCCTATTCTCCTCTGTATCCACCAGGCCCAAGGACGGGTGGGCACTCAACAAATGTTTGCTGAACAAATTAATGTGTTTCCATTTAACAAGCTCACTAGGGCTCTAGCTTCCTCCTAATTAGGAAGCAGGAAGGTTCCTTCTTCTGGTAAGATCCACCTTTGGGGCATGATGGCAGAACTTCAGCTTCTGCGAGAAGGTGGCAATCAAACTAGATCCTGGGGCACACGTTTGCATTTTAAGGAAATAAAACATGCATGCTCAGTGAGGTACATTTAAACAAGACACTTGTATATTAAAAGCTTCACATTAAATATACATTATACAGCTTATCGCACAGAATTATTGTATCAGTAGATCTTTACAGGACACTTTTTCGCAGTAGGTGGCAGTCCCAAGGCTCCTGGCAGTGACACAACAGCCCTGAGGAGAGGGGAGGGGCTGGGGGCTGTCACTGCCTAGGGGATACCTGAGTGGGTCTCTGGGGGGTTCTGGAAGGTGCTCCTGCATCTACAGCCCTGGGCTGTGCTGGCTCCACCGGGCAACTTGCCCCATTTGTCTTTGCTGGTAATCGATTCTGGAAGGTATCGGTTTGCTGGATGACATGGCAGTCTGCTGGATGACCATCTGATCCAGCCAGGACCCTTCATGAGCATCGATGGGCCAACTCCAAATGCCAGCCTGCCCTGTCTGCCCACTTCTGCACGCACTGTCCCTGGGGTCTGTGAGAGCACATGGTAAGCCCGGATGCCTGTCCCTGCTGGGCCCTTGGTCAAGTGACAGCAAGCACTTCCCTGAAGCCAGCCAGAGCTCGGTGTTCCAAATCTTTAAAAGGCAAAATCTCCGGGTCCTATGACTGTAGAAGCAGAGCGTCTGCCAAGGGCTCCACCTGCTGATGCCAGGCCCTTGCTGGAAGTTACATCATGATTCCCTTCTGCTCACCCACTGGCCACTGAGGGGCGCCAGCCTGGAGCTTCCCTGGGAGGGGAGGCACAGCTCAGCTGGGATTGGCTGAGTTTCCTGAAGAAGAGCCTTTTCACCATTTTCTTTAGAAGAGGTGCTCTGTGAGCCTCTCTCCTGACAGGCAGGTGGGCCATCTCTCCCCACAAAGCCTCCTTTCTTTCTGGGCTGTCATCTTGTTCTGGGGCGGGCGGGGCACTGCCCAAAAGGCCCTAACTCCTCAGTGCTCAAGGACATAACTGCTGAAGTGGTCGGGGCATTATGGTCAATAATGAAGCCAGCGATGGAGGGAAAGAAAGGGGAAAAAACCCGACAGTCCTGTGGCTCTGAGCAACGCAGCCTGTTAGGGGCTAGAGGTTGTGTTCTGAGACAAAATGCTGAGGCGAGATATTGTGTGGCAGGGAGCTTTTTTTTTCCCCCTCAAAGAAATCCAGCTCATTTTTTCCCCCATTAATTGGCAGCAGATGAAAAAAAAAAAAAAAAAAAGCCAAAACAAAACCCAAACCAACGCCAGTAACCTGAATGTGAGTGTTTCTGAAAGGGAAAAGCTGTTTCAATTGTTAGATGTCCAAGAAAACATGAATACACGCCGACAGAGGAAACGGTCACAATTAGAGGAAGAAGAGGGAGAGGTTCATAAAATTAAGGAAAAAAATTCCTTTTAGCAGCTCCCATCCTGTAAGCTGGCTCCTCTGCCGGCCTCAGTCCCAATGGGGAGCTGGCAGTTGGGCCTCCCGGGGAAACTTCAGTAATACAAGGCAGGGGAAAGAGGGAGGGCCCAGGAATCCCTTAAAAGAGCAAAGGCAAGACCAGAGAGCGAAGCAGCCTCGGTTTTCCTCAGACCACAGGCAGAGCCTCTTCTGAGGAGGGGTCTGCTCTGAAGACTGTCCACTGAGAAGGGTCGTGGGCTCCTGCTCTGCCCCACCTGTGGCCTCAGGAAGGGCCCTGTGGGAATCTGCCCTTACTGGAGGACGAGGCACTAATGCAAAATCCACCTCACCCCCGGTTCCATGGGCTGCCTTCCTCGTCCCCAACCTCTAACTGGATCCTTGGGATCCAGTCTCCTTCGGCACCTCTGGATAAGTACCAACTCCTCACTCATCTTCTCACTCACCAGAAAAATAAATAAATAAAGAGGAAAGCGTGAATCATTCCAGGTACTCCTGCCTTAAAGGATGTTTTGGAAAACGCAAAGTGGGTAAATGGTCAGGATTGAGGCTTTGGAGACTAGACCCAGGCCACAGGCAACGAGGCAACCATGAGGTGGACGGGCCTGTGGGATGCATGGATGGGAGGGTCTCGGGCTGCCCGGACTGAGACAAGGACTCGGGAGGCTGACCCAAGAGTTGGACTGGGCAGGAAGCAGATGCCAAGGAAACAGCTTTGGCCACAACCCACTAAAATCCACAGCAGCCACCTAAAGGGGCACGGATTCTAGTCCTGCCCTGCCCTGGCTTGACAGGCGGCCGGGGCAAGTCCTGTCTCCTCGCTGGGCCTCTGTCTCTAATGTGAACGGTGAGTCTGAAGCATCGTGGAAGGCCTGGCAGTGCTGGTGATGTTCAGACTCGGTTCAGCCCCCTCCTGCTGGGGACGATGGTCACTGAAATTCCATTGTGCGCAGACCACTGGCAGGCAGACTGACGCGTGCTTGGCGAAGGCGCTGACACTTGTGCTCTCTCTGGATCCCTTGCACCTCCTTCAGTGGATGGAAGCCATGCCTTTCATGCTGCTGGATGTGATTCTTCTATTTCTTCCACTGCATTTAACATGCATGGTGCGGTGGTAGGTGGGTGGGAGGGAAAGGAAGGGGAACTGAGTAACAGCAATCTCACTGAGGGTCTGCGCTATGTGAGCAAGACCCCCACTCCTGTCAAGGGCAGGGGCTAGATAGGGGTAGAGTGTGGGAGTGTGTGTGCGGGTGTTCTTATCTGTGTGGAGGCAGTGCGGACGACCAGGAGCTCCGGCTCCATGTCCCCTGAGAGGTCAGGATTTGCCTTCTCCCAGGAGCAGGGTGACAGCAAGGCCATGTAGAGCCAAAGCACTGGCTCTAGAGCGTCCTCTGCTTATGGGCTGTGTTAACTTAGACAAGCTACTTTCCCTCTCTGAGCCTCCTTTTCCCCACATGTTAAATGCCTCACAGGGTAGCAGTGACCCCAGTTAATGGGGAGAGCCCTTTATGCACTGCTGGGTGCTGTGCACCTGAGGGGTTAACACAGACCTGCCATCACTGCATTGCTGTAGGCAGAAGGGGGAGCGTGGGTGCTGAGTCAACATTTGAGGCTACCATTGCTGGAGCCTGAATGCCCCTTCCTGCAGCTTGACTCTCAGGGGGCAAAGCAAATCCCTCTGCCCCAGCGGCTGCCTCAGCCCTAAGCTGGGGGCTCTGCCTCCTTCCCGTGTGCCCAGAGCGGACACACCTTGCTCTGGGGACGAAACCCGCAGGTAAGCACTGGCCCCCCCAGAGACCCACTGCAGTATATTAAAAAAAGGGATAAGAATATATATTAAATGACTATTTTATTTACACACCCTATTCATAAATAATCGAATCGTTTTTTTGACTGCACAATGATTCCTTGGAGATCTCCTAATGATCACACTGAATGACTAAAAGTGGATTAGTGGGCTTATATCTGTGTGTGGCCATGTTCTCCCACGTATGTGCTCACACTCGCACACGCACGCTGACACACAACACACCAGAGGGGAGGCGGGATTCCCGGGGCCTTCAGGGCTCTCAAAGCATCAGCATTTGGCTCCCAGCACCAGTGGGGCCCCGGTGGGAAAACTGCACCCCGTACACAGGTGTGAATTCCTGACGGCTGGAGAACAAAGAGCCGCAACCCCGGGAGCTCCCGCCCCGCCCCTCGGAGCTGCTCTCCTTTGTTCATCCTGGAAGGCATCTCTTTGGATTTGCAAATATTTTAATTCACAGAAACTCGAAGAGGGGTTGGGGGAGGGGGCTGCGGTGGCGGGCTGGCCGTCCCTCAGTCTTTATCCAGGCCTTCTCCAGCCCCCATGAGTGGCAACAGCATTCTAGAGACATGCAGTGGTGTGCTAGTACCATACACACGACACAAACTGGACACGGCTGGCAACAGCGGCCGGGCGGGTCGGCAGGGGCCACCGGCTCCTCCGCGTCTAGGCCCCGTCACAGGGCAGGGAGGGTCTCACAGGGTCCGCACAGCCACGGGGTAGAGGAGGGACAAGTGCTCGGCCCCTTTGATGGGCAGCTTTCTGGTGGTGTAGTAGTGGATGACTTCTGGGACACTGTCGAACGGGGGGCTGTTCTGACCCAGGACGTATTTCTCTTTGGTTTTGGCCAGTTTCATGTGCATGAAGCCCTGGTTGCTCCTGTGAACAAAGCGCAGAGATTATTAGGATGTGCAGAATGACGAAGGCCCAAGATCAATCCGGAAAGCAATTCCCAGAGAGCTACTCACTTTTGCTCTGAACCGAGGTGTGTCATGAATTCACACTCATTATCCGAGAGAACTCTCCCTCTGGCCATATTCCTGCTAAGGTGTGAAGATTCCTTGCTGCCCGGGACAGAAGAGATCCCAGCCAAGAAGCAGCCTTGAGCTGCACCTCTCCCAGCCAGGAACAAAGCCCAGGAGCGGCTGAAATGCAGCTGCACCTAAAAGCCCCCTCAATCCCAGCAGCAGACAGGGAATCAGCAGCAAACACGGCTGCAGGAGAGTCTTTCGACTTCAGGAGCTTTGAGGGACTTCCTCAGGAAAACAAAGAAACCCCCAAACTTGGCCCCTCTTCCTATTACTGATGCAGATGAGAATTTAAGCCTTGTCCTGCAGGCACAATGTTTAAGTCCCCAATGCCCTGACAAGTAGGCAGGACAGGGGTCATCACCCCCACTTTACAGATTAGGAAACAGAGTGTGGCAGGATGACAGGCGAGCTGTTTTCCAAAAACTGATGCTCTCTCTTCAGTAGTACGGAACTGCCAAGCCAGGGACTACATTTCCCAGCCTCCCTTGTAGCCACTGTAGTCACATGACTAGTTTAAGCCAATAGAATCTAGGGAGAATGTGTGCTCCCTGGCTTTGCCCCAACGCAGGCACTCTCCTGTCTGTGCTTCCTCTCTCTGCTCAGTAAACCCTGCCTGCCTCCTTCTCCAAGGTCCAGGTGTAGTGTTTCCTCTGCCAGGAGGTCTTCCAGGTTCCCACTGGCAGAGCTCCTTCCTTCTTCCAGCTGCACCGAGGCTATAACGCCTCCATCAGCACTTGCCTTCCTGAACTGTGATTACTTGTCCATCTTCTCAATTCCCCTGAGAGCTCCAGAAGAGTGCGCAGGCTCTGTGCCCACCATGCTCGGCATCCTCCGAAATGGGTAGTGGGTGGGTTCCTCGACGGTCAGAGCAGAGCCCTATGTCTGTGACCCTCGCAGCTTGCCAGCTGCGCCAGCATGCTGGGTGGGGTGTTGTTTCCACCTGGCCCTAGCATACCTCTCCCGCCTCCCACCCAGGACTCTGGCCACATCGGGTCACTAACCCCTCCATCAACCTGCCTGTGCTCAGGCTGCCCTTTCCCTGCTCATTCAGCTCCAAGACTTAGCCACCACACTTGTGGATGCTTGGTTTCCAAAGCACAGTCCAAATTTACTGAGGGTGTGTCACTTAGTGAGAAAGCTGGGGCTCTGACCTCCTGTGCCTTCTCCAGAGCCCATCCTTGGGCACTGATAACTTGTGAGCAGCCCTAGAGGCTCGGCTCCTAGGAGACCAGGCCCACCCCAGGCAAGGCCGAGAGCTCCGTGTGGACACAGGTTTGCAGTTTGTAGCCTTTCTGAGCTTTGATTCTTCTTGCTTCAGCTATTCCCACATCTCTTCCATCCAGGACCGGGTTCCACACGCTTACCGGCGCCTGCTCTATTAATGCGTCAATTTGGACTCCAGGACCATTTTCAAATGGGCACAGCAAATGCTTAATGAAGTGCAGGCACTGAGCAATACAGCTGCTCATAATAACGTATTTAGAGATGTCACCCTTAGCTTAAAGGAAATCGTTCGGAGACCAATTATGTTTCAAGAGAGAATAATTCCTGTAAAGAACTGAAATTTAAATCAAGATTTTTTAAGGCTGACAATGTTCTAATTACAGAGCCTGAGGCAAGTTCTGCTCCTCAGTGAAGGGTCATTTTATTGGAGAATTGCCTTGTCACATCTAGAAGCAGGAGGCACACTTGCTTAAGCTGTTAGAAAGGAACTGGTGCGCGCCTTAAGTGAAAAAATGTGCAACTCCCTCTGAGTGAAGACTCCGCTACCTGCTACCCACATCCATGGAGAGATGGCAAATCTGTGCTGGCCTGGAAAGGGCTGTAATTGCTTGAATGCAGGGCTGAAATTGTGTGGCTAAGAAAACCGGGGACAGTTAAAAAGCTTTGCATTCTTGGAGGCCACGTGCTCAGCTTTGCCTGGAGAAGGGGTGTGTATGGGAGACAGCAGAGCTGGAGCTGCAGGTGAGTGACATGGGCGGATGTGTGTGGCCTTGGACATGTCATGCCCTCTGTGTGGGGTGATATTTTGGGCTTTATGTACCACAGTCTACAGCTGGGGCTGCAAAGCGCAGGATGTGTTAGATCACAGCAGCCAGTTGTGAGCTGGTCTGAACGCCAAAGCTCTGATGGCACTGCAGGTACGAAGTTGCAGGGGGAGCTGATTTAATTTCTAAGGAGGTTAAAGAAAATAACTCATACGGGTTAATGGGGTATTTTCACACCAATTGTTCTTAAAATATTCAGTGAGGGAAGTGGGCAGGGATGGTGGTAACAGAGGACAGAGCCAGAGACAGAAGCTGAAGCTCCTCTGTTCCCAGGCCGCGGGCTTGCGAGATCACCAGATATTAGGAGCTCCACACTAACGCCTCCACCTCAACAGACACAGGCAGCCGCTGGCACCTTCCTGCAGTCCCTCCTGACTCTCCAGGCCCACTGTTTGTTCTTCTGACACTCGTATTTCAGTACACACTAGTTTATAACCCTGAGCTGGGCTGTACTGAGGGGGCAGGCGGTTACAAAGTTCGGAGCCCAAGGCAGAGAACTCAGGCCCATGACCCCTGAGTCCAGGGCCTGACCATTCCTGGCAGAGGGAGAGCTGGCCCTCACCCTGCAGCCCCGGCAGGAATGGCCCTTCCCCCTGGGCTCATGTACTGCACTCTCTGGTTCTCTGGACCTGAGGCTCTCCTTGGGCCGTACTGGGCTCATTCCCTGCCCCCACTGGATCCATGGGGAGACTAACTGGATGGCCTCTGAGGGTTCTTCTGGGCCTAAGGTCCTGGATTCCATGTGTATGAGCATAATCCGCTGCCCACACGGTGAGGGCTTCCTGCAGGAAGGGGTCGAGGCAGCCTCACGCCCCACCCACCTCCACTGCTGCCCACGGCCTCCAGTGCCGCTGTCACAGGGTACTGGCCTGGATGGCCCTCAGGCTGATGTGTCCTGGGCACTTCCTGTGAGCCAGGCCATGTGCTAAGCACTGAGACTCAGATGGGAGGTGGCTGACCCAGGGTCACACAGCAATCGGCAGTGGCGATGCTGCTTCCTTCCCTGGTGGGCCTTTCCCAGAGCCCACGCTCCTGACCTCAGCGCTATCCAGCTCCAGGAGAGAGCCCTACTTAGCCCCCCAACACTCCACGTGAGGCCAGGCACGTGGTGGGCGAGAGGCATCAGAGCCTGAACAAGTGACTCCTTGACTCCAAGCCTCAGTCCCCACGACATCCACCCTGCAGGGCTGATGATGGGTCAGAGCAGCACAGGGGCTAGCAGTGAAAGGCCATCCTGGGGATTGGGGACAGTGTGTCCTGACTGGCGGAGTCCCTAGCCACGGAGGGACCATCACACGGAGTTGGTGGGCCCTGCGAGGTAAGCAGGCTTTCTTTCTGGGATAATCTATCAAACCCGGACTTATGCAAAGGTCAGGCAGAGCCTTGTCAACACATAGCTACGGGGTGTGCGGCAGTGATATACCCTGATGGGTCACAAGGTCCCCACGAGCGAGGTGCCACCTAACAACAGTTGAAGATTTTAAGACAGCTGCCAGGGATAGCTTTAAAGACTCCCAACTCAGGGGCTTCCCTGGTGGCGCAGTGGTTAAGAATCTGCCTGCCAATGCAGGGGACACGGGTTCGAGCGCTGGTCCGGGAAGATCCCACATGCCGCAGAGCAACTAAGCCCGTGCGCCACAACTACTGAGCCCACGTGCCGCAACTACTGAAGCCCGTGCGCCTAGAGCCCGTGCTCTGCAACAAGAGAAGCCACCGCAACAAGAAGCCCACGCACCGCAACGAAGATTAGCCTCTGCTCGCCACAACCAGAGAAAGCCCGCACGCAGCAACAAAGACCCAATGCAGCCAAAATAAATAAATAAATAAATTTATATAAAAAAAAAAAGAAAAAAAGACTCCCAACTCTACTTAGAAGACGACATCCAGCACAATAAGAGAAAGGATTAAATTTTCCAGGGAGAAGAGAGGGTGCATCAGATAACCAGCGTGCCCAGGGATGCTGCGGTGCTCTGGACACTGCTTTTGGAGCAAGAAGCAACCTGGAGACCATCTCGTTTCACCCTCTTGGGGTACCCTGGAGGAAACAGGTCAGAGAGAGCAGCACTCTGGCTCAAGGCACACAGCAAGGTAAGCTGTGGTTATGGCAAGAACCTGGGGCCCACGCGTCCAGGACCAGGTGGGCGGGGTCCCAGGCCACCTCCCATCATTGCTTCTGAGAAGGCATGGGTCCCCGGGGAGCTCAGACAGGCCGCTGCCTGCCAAGCTCCTGTGTCAGCCCCGTCTCCTTTGATAGGACATCTCGCAAGAGCTAAGTCACAATTAGGGGTGTCTCCAGTGGGTGACCTGACTAATGAGTCTTGTAAGGCTGGTAGAGGCTGGGGATGCTATGGCTGTCAGGGCGTTCAAATGGCTCATTATCATCACAAAAAGCACTTCCTCATCACCAGGATTATCAAACGTGCCTGGCGCGCTGGGCCTAATAACAGACCCCACCTTGTCTCATAATCATGGGCTTTAATAAACCATCACTCAGCCTGCAGCTGCTGGCCCGAGCAGGGTGCGAGGCCTCACCTCTTGCTTTTAGACCTAATTGCTTGATGCATATTTCATGAAGAATCTTGGGTAACAGTTATGTTAAATCGCTTCTTTTCACAATGAAGTGACTTAAAAATACTTGCATATAATATTTATGCAGGAGAAGGCAAGGAAATTGCCCTTTGGGACTAGCATGTAGGACCTGGTTACAGGAAACCACACACAGAGGTGATCTCTGGTTTACCTCTACTGAAAGGTGGTTGGGGAGCTGCTCTCTTCCCTGAGATGCCCCAGAACATTGTCC